AGTCTGGAAAGCGCCAAAAATAGAAGAATTCGCGGCCCCAAAACTGGGGCCGCCAAACGGCCCCAATTTTGGGGTCGCAGTTTCACCCCCCCAATCTAGTTCCAAATTGTACTGCGGGAGCTGGGTCCATTTCGCGGCCCCATTTTTGGGGCCGCGAGACGGCCCGCTTTTTTGGCCCTTGAATTTGAGCCTGTGGGCGCAAGCAACCCGATCGCGCCTGCCCTTTTTCTAGTAACTTTGGGCAGCGTCGCGCTGAGCGTGCGGGGGCTTGTCCGAAGCAGCTGCACGCTCGTCTTTGTAATGCTGCAGTGAGGCAGAACTGCAACTGTGGAGGCCCGTCCTGGCGAAGCCAGAATTGCTTGTGTTTTGCGGCCCTGAAAGCGGGGCCGCCCGACTTCCCCATAACTTGGGCTTCGTCCTGGCAATGCTGCTGGCCCGCCAGTTGAGCTGCAGGTCTTTGTTGGTGTTTTCTGTGGATAGGAGTCACGCTTCAAGCTCTGGGGAGTTGACCAACGTGGCCTCAACGTTTTCTGCGGTTGTGCAGAGTCGTTTGCTAGACATTGCAGAATGAAAGTTTTTTGGCAGGCTTGGGCTTTGAACAGCAAAGATATTTAAGCGTGTTGCAGGCCCGGATTTTAAGTTGCCATGCGCCCAATGAAGAAGAAGATTTTGGGGACGGGCGACGTCCCCAGCGACAGGGTTGTGCACGTGGGTTTGGAGTGGGTTTGACCATGTTTTGAAGGGACTGAGAATAGCGGGTGGGTTTGGGGTGGGTTCAGCGTGGGTTTGGGGTGGGTTTGGCTGGGTTTGACCATGCTTTGAATGGACTGGGGTGGGTTTGACCGTGTTTTGTGGACTCGGGGTGGGTTGGGCCTGTTTAGAAGGGGTGCGGGTGGGTGGGGGTGGGTTTGACGGTGTTTTGAAGGTGGGATGGCTTTGGGGTGGTTTTGACCATGCTTTGACGGGGCTGGGATGGGTTTGACCATGTTTTGAATGAGGGTAGCTTCCGGGTGGGCTTGGGGTGGGCTTGGGCGGGTTTGACCATGCTATGAAGGGGCTGGGTTGGGTGTGACCTCTTTTGAAAGGGTTGGGGTGAGGGGGGGTTGACTGTGTTTTGAAGAGGCTGGGAAGGGGGCTTGATTTCCACAGCAAGTGCTAGGAGACCGAGTTCCTGCCTCGGCTTAACCTGCTTGAGAACATAGCGAAGGTCACTTTCCTGCTGCGTGGTGGAGGCCCTCCACCCCCGTAGAGTCTTAACAAAACGGACCAAGGTGGCGAGCTGCCCGCGAACGGCGGAGTCGTTGTGTTCCCGAATTAAAAAACATTGTTTTGTTATTCCGGGAAACCTAGGACTCCACGGCACTCTATTGGTTAATTGCAATTTGCGAGGACTCCGCCGACTCCGCCGAGGCTTGTCACGCCGACTCCGCCAGAGCTACAGTTGGTGCCCCTCTAATCTTGATTAGCGACGCCGCGTAAGTGGGCAGGGGTAGAGTTGCGGGAAGAGCACGTGACTATTAGCTGGAAGTGTATATAGTAGAAGCAGAAGGCCGTGTGCGCGTGAGGCTTGCAGCTGTGATTCTGTGACCTCCAAATCTGGGGTCGAAAAATCTAGGCAATTCTGGCTTCGGGTGTGTGGGCCTCCCCTGTGCAAGTTTCTCTCATGTTGATCACTTCCACAAGAAAGCTGCCTGCGGAGGTCGTGGTTCTCAGTAATTGCTCTTTCCACGTTGAGTGCTTGTCTGTGGGCCAGAGTCGCCTGAGTGTAGCAGTCTGGAAAGCGCCAAAAATAGAAGAATTCGCGGCCCCAAAACTGGGGCCGCCAAACGGCCCCAATTTTGGGGTCGCAGTTTCACCCCCCCAATCTAGTTCCAAATTGTACTGCGGGAGCTGGGTCCATTTCGCGGCCCCATTTTTGGGGCCGCGAGACGGCCCGCTTTTTTGGCCCTTGAATTTGAGCCTGTGGGCGCAAGCAACCCGATCGCGCCTGCCCTTTTTCTAGTAACTTTGGGCAGCGTCGCGCTGAGCGTGCGGGGGCTTGTCCGAAGCAGCTGCACGCTCGCCTTTGTAATGCTGCAGTGAGGCAGAACTGCAACTGTGGAGGCCCGTCCTGGCGAAGCCAGAATTGCTTGTGTTTTGCGGCCCTGAAAGCGGGGCCGCCCGACTTCCCCATAATTTGGGCTTCGTCCTGGCAATGCTGCTGGCCCGCCAGTTGAGCTGCAGGTCTTTGTTGGTGTTTTCTGTGGATAGGAGTCACGCTTCAAGCTCTGGGGAGTTGACCAACGTGGCCTCAACGTTTTCTGCGGTTGTGCAGAGTCGTTTGCTAGACATTGCAGAATGAAAGTTTTTTGGCAGGCTTGGGCTTTGAACAGCAAAGATATTTAAGCGTGTTGCAGGCCCGGATTTTAAGTTGCCATGCGCCCAATGAAGAAGAAGATTTTGGGGACGGGCGACGTCCCCAGCGACAGGGTTGTGCACGTGGGTTTGGAGTGGGTTTGACCATGTTTTGAAGGGACTGAGAATAGCGGGTGGGTTTGGGGTGGGTTCAGCGTGGGTTTGGGGTGGGTTTGGCTGGGTTTGACCATGCTTTGAATGGACTGGGGTGGGTTTGACCGTGTTTTGTGGACTCGGGGTGGGTTGGGCCTGTTTAGAAGGGGTGCGGGTGGGTGGGGTGGGTTTGACCGTGTTTTGAAGGTGGGATGGCTTTGGGGTGGTTTTGACCATGCTTTGACGGGGCTGGTTTTGAAGGCGCTGAGGGTAGCTTCCGGGTGGGCTTGGGGTGGGCTTGGGCGGGTTTGACCATGCTATGAAGGGGCTGGGTTGGGTGTGACCTCTTTTGAAAGGGTTGGGGTGAGGGGGGGTTGACTGTGTTTGGAAGAGGCTGGGAAGGGGGCTTGATTTCCACAGCAAGTGCTAGGAGACCGAGTTCCTGCCTCGGCTTAACCTGCTTGAGAACATAGCGAAGGTCACTTTCCTGCTGCATGGTGGAGGCCCTCCACCCCCGTAGAGTCTTAACAAAACGGACCAAGGTGGCGAGCTGCCCGCGAACGGCGGAGTCGTTGTGTTCCCGAATTAAAAAACATTGTTTTGTTATTCCGGAAACCTAGGACTCCACGGCACTTTATTGGTTAATTGCAATTTGCGAGGACTCCGCCGACTCCGCCGAGGCTTGTCACGCCGACTCCGCCAGAGCTACAGTTGGTGCCCCTCTACTCTTGATTAGCGACGCTGCGTAAGTGGGCAGGGGTAGAGTTGCGGGAAGAGCACGTGACTATTAGCTGAAAGTGTATAGTAACATAGTAGAAGCAGAAGGCCGTGTGCGCGTGAGGCTTGCAGCTGTGATTCTGTGACCTCCAAATCTGGGGTCGAAAAATCCAGGCAATTCTGGCTTCGGGTGTGTGGGCCTCCCCTGCAGGCCATCGTCGACATCCTCTTCGCCGCGGGCCGGGCTCTAGATGTCAGAGTCTGTTCCAGGCGCGGGTTGGGGCTCCAAGGCAGCTAGGTTTGACCGTTGTGCAAGGCTTCAAGGTTGCAGCAAGGCAGTACTCTGAGCCCACGCCCTTTCCAACCCTTGCCGGAACCGGGCCCACCTTGTCGCTCCGTTCCACCAACAACACCTTCTTAGGCGGGGGCCTCTCAACGTTTCGCGCAGGGGTTTTCACAGGTAGTCTTGCAGTGCCAGTGTCGTGCAGTTGTCTAGAGTCCTAGACACACGGTCATGCTGCGGATTGTGTCTCGAGCAAGCGTCTAAGCGTCTCGAGCAAGCATGGCTTCAGCTGCCAAGTGGTACGCGTTGTTCCCGGAGCTGGGCACGCCCTGTGATGTGATCGAGTTGAGGTCTCAACCTGATCCTGACGCGATCCTTGACCTCGATGGCTCTGGGCTCAGCAGTTTTTTTAGTTCCACGCTTCGTCTGCTTTGCCAGGGTTGCTGTAAGCTTCGTTGGGCGTTGCTCCTGTAGCCGTGTGAACCCGATTGTTGATTTGAGCTGTCGGGTAACAGCAGGTGCCACTGCGCTCTTCAACCGATTCCCTGATCCAATCTTCTCAGCAGCCCTTCTTTGATTGTTCGGATCACCCTTTCCACCAAAAACTCTGGTTATCTACTTTTCTACAGCCCAATCATCTAGCAGCTTAAACTCTTTTTGACTTCGGTCCCATCTGAGTCCGTAGCCATTTTGGCTCAAGCTTGGCTCAGCAGTCAGCAAAGCAAGGAAATTTCTTTGGGCCCAGTTCTTGAGTAACTCTGCGGGTCCTCAACAGGTTCTTCTTTTCCAAACGGGCCCCCCCTTTCAACCAGTGCCGTTAGGGCCCGTGCAAGCCACCCCGCGGGGGTGGCGGATGCTTTCTTCCCCCAGTGGAAGCAGCGAGTCCGAGGCTTCCGAGCCTCTTCAGCATCCTGAGCCTGCAACTTTCCTTGCACTTCGTTTGCGCCCGCGTTCGTTCTACTTCGACCGCCTTCTTGAGTACTCCCAAGAAAGCCCCAATTTGTATACGTACATCTTGGAGGGTAACCTTCGCGGCGTTTTACTCAGCCGCTCCGACGGAGCTCGCTTGCTCCTCTTTCTCCCTCAAGGGTCTTGGGCTTCCCTCGTGGCTGTTGCGCGCTGGCCGCATACTTGTTTGAGCCTTCATTTGACACTGACTTCTTGAGCCCTGCTCGGCCCTCAGTGCGTTGCCTCTTGCCTGCCCAACTTCCGTGAGTGAAGGGGGGGTGTGTCCCGGTTTTGGGCATTCATGGCTTTTGATAATCACACTGAGTATTCCCTGCACTTGCAGTCATGCCTGAGGGATCATGCTAGCGTGTGGCAGCAACCCTGGGAGATTGGCCTTGTGAGTCAGCCGGCAAAGAGAAAGCTGGTTCCTAGAGGTCCCTTGCCTTTGTGTGAACTTGAGAAGCCTGAATCAGCTGAGGGTTCCGAGCCTTTTTCTAAGTCTTCTGGACTTGTTAAGATTGCTGAAAAGATGGCTCGTTTCAGCAAGTACGACTCGAACCCCAAGGCTTGGATTGATCTCCAGAGTGAGGAACGCAGCCTTGCTATTGCGAAGTGGCAGCGCATCATTCTTGTTGAGCCCCTTGCCTTTGGACTTGCACGTGATTTCCATGCTTCGAAGGCAGCAGGGTTGGGTACTGGTCCTTTTCTTAACAGCGTGGCAGATGCCTTGGCAGTGAAAGCAACGTCTACTTTGCACTCGCGTGCGAATGCTCTTATGAGGTATGTTGCCTGGGCTTCGGGCAAGACTGCGATAGTTTTTCCTGCCGCTGAGCCTCTTGTGTATGCTTACTTCGATGATGTGAAGGACAAAGCTGCACCGACTTCCTTGAAGAGTGTTCTCTCCGCTTTTGCCTTCGCAAAGTATGTTGTGGGCTTGAAGGGTGTTGATGAGATTTTGGAGTCGGGTCGTGTTCGGGGCCTGGCAGCTCGGCTTTTCTTGCAGAAGAGGAAGCTCCTTCAACGAAACCCCTTGAAAGTCGAACATGTTGCGCTGCTTGAGAGAATTTGCTGTGGTCTTGAAGGGAGGTCCCTGCAAGATAGGATGGCAGCGGGCTTTTTCCTTTTCCTAGTGCACGCGAGAGCCAGGTTCTCCGATGCCCAGCGTGTGTGCAAGCTCCTTTTTGTGCGCCTGATCTCAGCATATCTCGAGGTCCACGTTTCGAGGAGCAAGACCAGCTTCTCCCTCGAGAGGAAGGTTAGGTTCTTGCCGATGGCAGCTTGTGCTTTGGGTCTGTCGGGTCTCAGGTGGGCCGATGCTTGGATCGATGTCATGGAAGAATGTGGGATTCGTATCCACGAGGATTCGCCCCTCCTGCCGTGTCCGGGTTCCAACGGGACCTGGAGGAATGTGCCTCTGCCGTGCGACCAGGCTTGTGTGTGGCTCAGGAGCCTGCTTGCCCAGGGAGTGGGCCCCGATGAGTACTTGAACAATGTGGGTACGCATTCGTGCAAAAGAACAATCCTCTCATGGGCCAGCAAACGTGGTCTGCCAAGGGACCAAAGGGCCATCTTAGGCTATCATACTTCGAAGTCTGCCGGTGTGGGCACGGAGCTCATCTATGAAGTCGATGCTCAGTCGGCCCCCCTCAGGGCCATGGCGTCGATGCTGCGTGAGGTCCGCTCTGGGAAGTTCATGCCTGACAACCCAAGAGGGCAACAGCTGGCAGAGGAATGTGAGAGGTCCGATGAGGAGGATCCACCTCACTCCGAGGATGATATGGCGTCGTCTTCGGGCTCCTCGGTCGACGAAGAGGAACGTGACCACTCAGAACCGTCGCCAGGACTATGGAGAGGTGGCCGGGCAGAGTGGATGAGCGGCGGCTGCCAGGTGATGCAACGTACTTCAGGCACCGCCAGTCGAGAGTCATCCACCTAACCGCTGATGAAGCAGGAGCACATTTGATATGTGGAAGGGCGTTGTCTGTACAGTATGGGCGATGCCATGAGCGACCTGCAGTTTTGCATCCTAGGTGTAAGCAATGCTTTAGAGCATATGTGGCTTGATGTGAGATTTCACTTGTGCATAGAGCATAAAGGGTGTGTGCGAGGCCCACGATTTGCTCACTTGCTGCGCCCCCCTCCTTTTTGCATGTGCTCTATGTCCATGAATGTGATGTTCGTGCTCTACGTCCATGTGAGAGTTCTCTCTTGAGAGTTGCCTACATGTCATGGCAAACACAGATGCTTTACCAGCTCTGAGCAGGTGCCAGGTCTCAAGCCTAGTTTGGGTGGCCGTCAAAGATGGCTGCGTACTCGGAGAGTGGTCCAGTGTTCTCTGCGAGATGTGTGAAGGTAGGCTTAGAAGAAGCTGATGTCGCGGCCCTTAAACGGGCTGGCATCACTACTCTGGCCCGGGTAGCCTTCATGTCAAGCTATACGCCAGGATCGGGCGATGACAAGGAGCTCATCGCCGCGTTTGAGACGGCACTTGGAGGCCCGGCAAGTTTGGGGCAGAAGGCAGCCTTTCGCAGGTTGTTCCATGAGAGCTTTGCTGTCACTACGAGTGAAATGCGCTCGTTGGTGGAGCGGACCGATGAAACAGCGCCTAGGAAGCTTTCGGTGCCGGAGCGCTCCGAGAGGTTCGCTGCCATCGTGAAGAAGTTGCCGGGGTTGGACATCCGGAATCGAATGGAGCCATCAGATGCTCTGGTGGATGCGTGTGTCGCCATCTATGAGCAGAATCGCCTCCAATACCTGGAGTGGGATCGTCTGACAAGCAAAGAGCACGAGGCACAGACGAGTGCCAAGAGAGAGTCGGTCTTGTCCATTGACAGCTCGGGGAAACTCAAGACTGAGAAGCCTGACCCGGGGCGTGCAGACACGTCCAGTGAGTTCCTCATCCACCTTGCGTTGTCCCGTCGAGGCATTGCTTTTGAGATGGCGAATCTCTTAGATTTTGTCCATCACAGCCGTTGGGTAGAGAAGCTTCTGAGTGCACGCTTGGACGTTGTTCCTTCCTCTCACAATCTACCAACCTTCATGCAGTTGCAGGCTGCAGATCGCAAGTTGTTCCAGTGCCTTGCTGATCAGACACGTGCCGGCCTCCAGGTCACAGCATCGGGAAGGCCTTTGGATCAGGTGTTCGAAGCCGCCACCTGTTCAACGGAGGTTGTCAGCTTGATGCAGCCATTGCCTAAGGCTGCTGGCGCTGGCTCTGAGAAAGAGCGTAATGGGCCTTACGGCTTTCCGCCGCCCCCTCCTGGAGGGAAGGGCCGTGGAAAGGGGAAGCGAGGTAAGGCTGCCGTTCGGCAGATGAAAATGCCCCAGGGGCTGGAAGGCTGTCGGAGCCACACGAACGGCGGAGACCCCATATGTTTCGGATACGGTCTCAAAACTTGTCGCGAGACCGTCACTCGCGGCAGGTGCCCGAAAGGCCTACATGTCTGCGCTGTTCCGCGGTGCGGCAAAAGCCACCCTGCAACGGATTGCAGCTTGCGCAGCGGTGTGTCAGGACAGGCCTGACTAGGGACCCAGGGTCCCAAGGGTGCCTCAGCAGGCACAGCGTCCGGAGAGGATGCAGTTTTCGAGCCGGGCGCTCCCGTAGTACCAGGCGTCGCTGCCTCGCAAGGCACCGGCGGGTCGGCCTCGTCGGCCGACGCAAGTTTTCCTTCAGCACATGTGGTTCAGCCGGAGCCTAAGAGGCCGCGCGTGAGCCGTGGAGCAAACTGCTTCGTACATTCACATGCAGCTGAGCACGTGAGTTCTGTTTTGGCACCTCCTCTTCATGCTGGGGGTGCCGTTTTTCCGATTCTCTTTCAGGGTGCAAAACCACATGATCTTGATCAAGCTGAGACCTTGGCTTGGGATTTGGCAGGCCATCATGAGCTGACTGCTTCAGACCTTGTGCGCCTGTTCGACGCCTTGCCAAAAGAACCATCCCCCCGCGCTGCTGAAGGCAGCAGCTTCACTGCAGGCGCGTTTGTGCATGGCGGAGTCGTCGGCGTGCGAACGACGACTGGGAAGTATCCTGCTTCCACTGCCTTGTTTGTGGCCTGGCTCAAACATGCGGCCCCCGGGTGTGTCTTCTCTTCCATTGCCGTGCTTGATCAGAGTCCCTCTTCCATGCATAAGGACCTGCAGAATGCGCCCTTCCCTAATATAATCACTCCCCTAACCGCCTTTAAGGGAGGTTGTCTTTGGGTTGAGGGTGAGGGCTCCGAAGTCCGTGAGTTTCAAGGCCACGATGTCATCGGTGGCCCCGTGCCTTGGAATGGTCCGTGTCTGCTCTTGTCGGCCAGCGAGAATGCACATTGCGTCCTCCCCTGGCAGGGTCGCCGCCTTGTCTTGGTAGGTTTCACGGTGCGTTTCGTGGAGAAGCTTAAGCCCCCCGCTAAGGCAGAGCTGCGGCTCTTAGGGTTTCCCTTAGAAGCTAGTCCCAGCACAAAACTGCCACCCCCGACAGGTGTCGCTCCAGCGGCAGGAGCCCAGCCCTTGGCAGAGGCCTCGGTTCCTCTTGCACCGCCCGTGCAGCCCTCATCTCTTCTGCTGCCGCCGTCGACTTCTCGCCCCCTTGTGCTCGAGTTGTGTGCGGGCTCTGCCCTTCTGTCTTGCGTAGCCAAAGAGGCCGGGTACGCGGTCGTGCCGGTAGATTGGGGCCATAGTAAGCATAGACCTTATGTTCATGTGCTGCAGCTGGACTTGCGCTTGTCACGCACCTGGGACTTCATCAGGCGTCTTGTTGAGACGCGCGACGTTGTGTGGGTGCATATCTAACAAACTTTTCGGTTAGCCATGTGCCCCCTGTAGAAGTATTTTTCCTTGTCGTTTCACTGCTGCCAACAAGGCTCAAGGGACTGCTGAACAGACCGAGTCCCAGCAAAAAGTGCCCGCTAGTGGTTTCAAGTTCAAGGGTCTGGAACGAACCCTAAATCGTTTTATGGTAGCGGAGCTGAAGGCCTAGACCTTTGGTTCAAAGTGAGCCCAAGAAAGCGCTCTGGAGGAGCGAGGACTGAAGTCCAAAAGAGCCTTGGGCCAGCTACCAAGCGAGCTCCTTAAGGGAGACTGTAAGCGAGGCTAAGAGGAGCTTGGAAGTGAGAAAGAGAAGAAAAGTGTGATGCAAGAAGGAGATCCTGCTGGAGCAGGAGCTCAAGAGCATGGAGGAGACACTCCAAGCGATACTCCAATGGCTAGGCCAGCTGGAGGAGGATTGCCCCCAGGTCTCGGGGGAGCATCGTTTCAAGAAGTGATGGGAAGTTTGGCCGCAGCAGCCAATGCTTTGGCTGGAGCTGCAGGATCTGCAGGATCAGGCCAGAGGAGTTATGACTCAGCAGCAAAGCTGGTAAAGAGTCCAGAAGTGTTTGCTCCAAAGAATTTAGAGGAAGAAGTTTCACAATGGCCAGACTGGAGTTTTAGCTTCAGGGTGTTTGTAGGATTTGTAGATCCTAAGTATGCCGAAGAGTTGGTTAGGGTAGAGTCAGGACCGTTGAATCCGGCTCTGTATTCGCAAGAAGAGAAAGAGAGGAGCATCAAGCTCTATGCGATTTTGGCTTCATATCTGAGGAATCGTCCTCTGAAGTTGTTGAAGTCCGAAGGAAGTCAGGATGGCTACAGTGTGTGGAAGAAGTTGTTTCAGGAGTTGGAGCCGTCGAGCAGAACAAGAGGACTGGCAATGGCTCAGGCCCTCGTTAGTTTCCCAGCGATGACCAAGGGAACTTCCATCCTGGACTACCTGCTCACCTACGAGAAGCTGGTGGGTGAATACGAGAAAGTTTCAGGAGCGAGGTATGATGAGAACCTCAAGATCGGCACGGTGCTGAAAGGATTGCCGAATGAGTTGAGAAAGCATATTTTGGTTGGACTTAGTCCTACTACGAGTTACACGGATATCCGAAGGAAGTTGCTCGAGTACGAGAGGAGCACGCAGTCTTGGAATGCAGAGAACATCTTGCAGTCCTTCAGCATGGAAGGACCAACAAAGCATACGCCGTACAACGGACCTCAAGCGATGGAAGTGGATCGAGTGAAAGGAGGTTACAAAGGAGACAAAGGGAAGTATGGAAAGGAAAAGAACAAAGGAAAAGGTAAAGGAGAGAAAGGAGGAAAGTCCTTTGGAAAAGGAAGATTTACCAACAAAGGAAAAGGAAAAGGAAAATGGGATACTGGCAAAGAGTCCAAGGGAAAAGGAAAAGACAGAAACAAGGGAGTTCGCGCGGTGGAAGGTGGCTACGGGTCAACGAAGTTTCAAGGAAGTTGCTACATCTGTGGCAAGCCAGGACATCGAGCCACGGATTGTTGGCAGAAAGGAGATAAAGGTAAAGGAGGAAAAGGAAAGGTGAGATACGTGGAAGAAGAAGAGACTCAAGGTCAAGGTGACCGAAGCTCGGGGAGCAATGCGAGAGCGAACAACGACGAGAGTGGACAAGTGAGAGTCATCACCGCCTCTGCTGCGAGAATGGTTCGAAGAGTTGAAGAGGTGGAAGATCAGGATGAAGAGCTTGACTTGAATGAAGTGAGCTGGAGAATGAATGAGTTGGAAGTGAGGAGACTCGAAGAGTTCGATCTCACCCTGGGAGATGAAGAGAGCGATGAAGGTGAGATAGACCCTCACGATGAGTTGATGGAGTGGTACGATTCGAAGCAAACAGGCGAAGAAGTTGGCGAAGTGAGAACGCTACAAGATGAGAAGACTGTGAAGAACGTTTGCAAAGAGGTTGAGTCGTGCGAAGTTGTGCTTGACAGCGGTGCGGACTGTCATGTGTTGCCTATGGATTGGGCAGAAGAGGTCGGAGAACCTTCGACTTTCGAGTACCGACTGAAAGATGCACAGGGAAGAGTTATCCCAACACTGCCTGTGAGGCAGCAAGTGAAGTTCGTTTTCTGGAAAGAGTCAGGAAAGAAGTTGGTTATCACAGACACTGCAGTTTGTGGCAACGTTACCCAACCACTGTTCTCGATTGGGAAGATGTGGAAGCTTGGTTGGGGAACTGTAAGCGAAGATGGAAAGTTGTGGCTGAAGAAAGGAACTGTTCGAGTTCCATTGCACTTCAAGAGAAATTCTTCAATGGCGATAATGAGTATCAGTCGTGTTGTGACTGAAGAGATGAAGGTGCAACCTGTAAGGCTGGAAGAGAATCTTAAGAGAGAGCTCCAGCACAATGAGATTGGAGATTCCTGGTTCGTGCTGGAAGATGGAACTCCGGCGCGGTTTGACTGGGATGTGACAAGAACATTCGACCCCACCGGTCATTTCCCGAACCACATGTATGAAGGAGAAGGAAGCGAAGGTGACTATTTCCCGTATCGAACAACCCTCTTGGGGAAGCTTGAAAGAAAAGGAGGCGCAGTTTCTCCACTAAACGAGGTAGACTGGAATTCTCTGGAGTTCTTTGAGTGCTCGGAGGAGTGGAAGGATAGAGAGAACGTATCTCTTGGAAGAACCCCAAACGAGAGGTTTGAAGTGATGATCACTTTGCTGGAGAAAGAGATCAAAGAGCCCAATGCTTATGGAAGCTTTGAAGGACTGAAAGAGAGAGAAAAAGAGTTTGGAGGAGAAAATCAGCCCATGGAAACAGGAGAGACAACCGAAGCGTTGGTTCCGAGACAAGAGGAAAAGAAAGAGCATCGAAGCAAAGGCATTCCGGTACTCCCGGAAGACGAGACAGAAGTAATGCTTATTGGACCTCTGAGGATCACCCCGACAAGCGAACTGAAGGAGATGAAGGAAGCTTGCAAGTACTTGTATTTGTCAAAGAACGGCTCGAAAGGAGTCCTGTGGCAGAGACTAAAGAAAGAGGTGGCGACGAACAAGCTGAAGGCGACAGTGCAAATCTCAGAGGACATCAGAAAAGAGTTTGAAAGAGATCCTATCCCAGAAGCACTACCTGCGCTCCCGAGCCAGGAAGAGATCGAGAAGCATGAGTTGACGCACCTGCCTCGGGCATCATGGTGTGAAGCCTGTCAGGCAGCAAAGAGTCGGGAGGACAACTTTGACGAAAGTACGGAGAAGCCTCAGCGACCAGTGTTTAGTTTGGACTTTATGTTTATGTTCACAGGAACCCAAGGAGAAGAAGGAGAAAAAGATCCATTAGCAATTCAGCTGGTGGGAGTTGATTCTGAAACGAAGTTTCTTTTGGCCGTCGCAGTGCCAACAAAAGGAGGAGATGCCGTTATCAACCACGCAGTGGCGGAAGTCACACGAGTTCTTGCACTGTTGGGATACAGTGACGTCGTGCTGAGAACAGACACAGAGCCTGCAATGCTTGCCATTCGGAAAGGAGTTCAAGCCGTGCGAGCAAGACATGACTTGAAGACGGAGCTACAAGATAGCGCTCCAGGCGAGCACCAAGGACTGACCGTTGAGCGGTATATCCAGACAGTGAGGAAATTGGCGAAGACTTTACTCGCGACCGTAGAGCAAAGAAGTGGAACAAAGATTGGTTCCGATGTCCCACTGTATAGTTGGGCGTTTAGACATGCGGCATGGCTGCAAAATCGGTATCACGTGGGAAGAGATGGACGAACAGCCTTTGAGGCAACTGTGGACAGAACGTACAAAGGGAAGCTTGCACCCTTTGGATCAGCGATCATTGCTAAAGCGTTGCCGAAAGCCCAAGAGAAGGGAGAACCATGGGAAAAAGGAGTGTTCCTTGGAAAGGACTACGCGAGCAACCTCAACTTAGTCGGAACAAGTCGAGGAGTGATCAAAGCAAGAACAATGAGAAGATGTGCAGATGCATATCAGCCCGAGCTATTGCAGATAGCTGTGGGAGCCCCGTGGGATCATCAGCTCAAAACACTGAGACAAAGGAAGAGAAGGGTTTTGCCCTTAGAGGAACCTGAGCTTCCCCCGCTAGAAGCCCCAAGAGAAGGGAAGGAGAAAGAAAGTGAAGCGAGGCCGCAGTCAAGTTCAGGCGGAAAACAGAGTTCAAAGAGTTCCTCGAGTAACAGCCCTCCAGGGTCAGATCCAATGTCTGAAGGAGGAATTGGAAGTGCAGGTGAAGAAAGTGACGAAGACCCCGGAGAAGTGAAAGGAAAGAGAAAAGCTGAAGAGGAGCTGTTCCCAGATGAGACCTCACTGGAAACGTTGAGACAAGAAGCAATGAAAAGAGACACAAGAGAAGCGTTGGAGGATGCAGAAGAGTCGCCAAAGAAAGGTCCGAAGCTGGACGAAGGCACAGGAGAAGTGGAAGAAAGGAGCGGAAAAGCGCCGAAGGTTGGAGAGGCAAGCGGAAGTTCCTCAAGGGTGAGTGCAGAAGTGGTTCACTACCACATTAGAAGATTTGAAAAGAGTGAAGAGCCTGAGGAACACGGAGATGAGCTCCTTGATCTGGAAGAGACAAAGATGTTCCTTGAAGAGACAAAAGAGTGGCAAGAAAAATGGAGTGAGAAGACCGAGGAGTCAAGCGAAGACTTACGAATGACATGGTCCCATGAGTATGACGATGGGCCACCAAAGCTCGACAGAGAGGACTTGGAAAAGGTCGATGCGAAATCCGAAAGAACTGAGATAGAGAGACTCTTGGAAATGAAAGTGCTCACAGAAGCTGTGCTTGATGAAAAGGGAGAGCCAGTGCCCACGCCAGAAGGTAAAGCGCCAAAGCAGTTGAGCACGAAGTACGTCCTAGACTGGAGACACAGGCAAGGCCAGTGGAAAAGACGTGCAAGGTTGGTTGCACGAGAATACCGTTGGTTGACGGATTATGACCTCACAGCCCTGTACTCCCCGACGAGCATAAGCTCAAGCATTAAATTGCTTTCTGCACTTTGTGCAAGTTCACCAGGCTATGAGATGATCTCGATTGACATCTCTGACGCGTATCTTCAGGTACCCCAGAAGGAGTACACAGTGGTTAGCCTGGGAGGAAAATGGTACAAGCTGGAGTTTACCTTACCCGGTCAGCGAACCGGAAGCAGTGACTGGTTCGAGCATCTGAGGAAGATCTTGGAAGAAGAGAAAATGACTTCGGATATCGGGTTACCAAGTTTCTTCTACAAGTTACCGAGCGGAAGTGAAGGAGGAACTTTGATGAGCACACATGTGGATGATCTGGAAGTGGTCGGAAAGCCCGAAGAGAACAATGCAGTGGTTTCACTGCTGCTGAAACACAAGTTGAAAATCAAGCTGGAAGGACCAGTAAAAGTTGGAGAAGGCAAGTGTACCTTCTTGAAGCGAACTTTCCTCGGGATACCCGGCGGAATTGAGATCCGGATGGACGGAAAGTATCTGGAGAGATTGGAAGAGCTTTTAGGGCTCGGAAAAGCACATCCAAAGAAACTCCCGTTTCCAACAGACTATGGGAGATCGATGAAAGATGAGACCCCGCTGAACGCGGAAGAGCACCATCTGTATAGGTCTTGTGTGGGGATCCTGTTGTACATGACCCCCGAGCGACCCGACCTAGGGTTTGCGACGAAGTGGCTGTCTGGAAAGTTGGCGACACCGACAAGAGGTGACCTCGCAGTGTTGAGGCATGTGGCAAAGTATGTGAAAGCTACGTCACACTATGTGATCGAACACATGGAGTCGCACCCTGGGAAGAGTTTCCTGGAGAGAAATGAAATCGAAGAAGAAAGGCGTTTCGACGAGAAAAGCGGAGACGTGTTTACCGCGAAGAGTTTGATCGAGGTTGTGACCGACGCCGATTGGGCGACTGATAGAGAGACGCGACAATCAACGAGTTGTGCGTTGATCTTTGTGAATGGAAATTTGGTCCATTTTCATGCAAGAAAGCAAAAAGCGACAGCCTTGAGCAGCTGCGAAAGCGAATTGGTTGCAGCCGTTGGAGGTTTGAGTGAAGGAGTTTTTCTCCAGAATTTGCTGGAAAGAGTTCTGAAGATCAAGCCGGAAATGAGGATCCACATGGATTCAAGTAGCGCCCGAGCAATCCTCATGAAGAAAGGATTTGGAAGAACGAGGCACGTTGATGCCGGATTGTTGTGGGTTCAACAACTCACCGGACGAGGCCTGAAAGTGAAAGCAATCAAAGGAACCGAAAACCCCTCGGACGTAGGAACAAAGGCGTTGACAAGAAGTTTGGTTGTGAAGTGTTTAGAAAAAATGGGCGTGAGAACAGGAGAAGAAAGCAGGGAGCCCAAAGGAGCCTCGGAGTTCAAGATCCCGAAGAAGTATCTGAGGAGAATCGTGATGATGTTAATGGTTCAAGGAAGTGAAGGGTTGAAAAATGAAAAGAAAGAGTTGAGTTTTGGATTTTACATGTTCACGGGAATCATGGTCATGATGTTGCTTTTCATGGTTTGTAGTCCGGTGCTTGGAGAGTACGCTAGAGAGAAGTTGTGCGTGTCCGCAGCCGTTTTCAGCTCAAGCAAAAGAGAAGGCCAGGTGGAAAAGAAAAAGAGAGAAAAAGAAAAGATGGAGGCCCAGCCAAGCGCTTTAGAAGCGACCGAAGAGGCGGCAGTGAAAGCTCACGAGGCAGCCCTCAAGGAGATGATTATGAACGCAAGATCCCTTGAGGCAGTTGAGCTTTTGAACAAAGCTTTAAAGCTCTGCCGCTCGGGGCCAAGAGAGAACCTGGTGTTGCTTGGGGAAAAGGTGAAAGAGTTGGATGAGAAGTATGGAGTTAAAGAGAAACCTGGAAGCAGCGCTGGAAGCGAGGAGAAAGAAGTCGAAAAGAGAAAGGTCGAGCTGCTAGAGCTCCAGGAAGCAGCAAAGAAGAGAAGGAAAGGGATCTTCGACAAGAAAGAAGAGAAGCAGCCAGAAGAGAAAGAGAGTCTGGAAGAAGAGTCCGACGAGGAGTCCCAAGAGAAAAGCGAAGAGAAGCAGCCAAAAGAGAAAGAGAAAAAGGAAGAAGAGTCCGACGAGGAGTCCCAAGAGAAGAAAGATGGAGGTGAAAAAGAAGAGACCTCGAGCGAGGAGGAAGATGTACAAGAGATTCTCAAGGAGACAGCGAAGAAAGAGGTGCTCGAAGAAGAGAAAAATGTGAAAGAGCTCTTGGGGAAAATGACGGAGAAAAAGGAGAAGCTGGATGAGGCCCGAAGAGCGTTTGCCTCGACCTCGGAAAGGTACGAGGAGGCGAAGGTGTACCGAGCGGTCAAGGTACGAGAAAAAGAGAATTTGTCCGAGCTGTGGGACAAGTTGGAGGATGAGTTGGAAAAGAGCAAGAAGGATTGTGAAGCGATCGAAGCCCAAGCTGATGAGATTTTGGAGCATGAAGAAGAGTTGGAAAAGGAGATGGATGAGTTGAGGCCAAAGCTGGCCGAAGCGTTGCGAGAGCTGGGTGAAAAGAGAAAAGAGCTTCGAAAGTACGAGAAGGAAGAAAGGCCGCCGCTTTTGAACCCAAAGGTGGACGTCGCAATCAAGGAAGAGCTCATGGATTTGCGATTGGGAAAGCAGAAGGTGGAAATTGAGCTTCAGGAAGTTCAAGAGCAAAACGAGAAGCTCAAGAAGAAAAAGGAAGAGAACGAGAAAGAGATGGAAGCGATGAAAGGAGAATTGGAGATGCTCCGAAAGAGGAAGCGTGAAAGCGTTGGATCCATGGATGAAGAGAAAGCGAAGAGCATGAAAGAGGAGAATAAGACCTTGAAGAAGAGCATCAAAGGTTTGTCGGAGACCAACAAGAAGTTGGAAAGTGACTTCCAGAAGTTGAAAAGCGAGAAAGGACAGGAGAACCTGGAAGGGAAGTTCGTTTTGAACATCGAAGAAGAGACCGACGAGGAGGAAGACAAAAAGAAGAAGCTTTGCATTCTGTGTTCCCGACACGGCCACAGCTACATGATGTGTTGGGACGCAGGGTATTCCTACGACAAGAATGGGAAATACACCCCGTGGTTGAATGTGAAGAACGAGGATGGAACGGAGAGAACAAAGGCCCAGTTCAGGAAGTACTTTCGTGAAAACGAGAAGGAGATTAGGGCCGAGTACGCAAAGTTGCTTGACGAGAACAAGAAGAAGTTCAGAAAAGGAGATGGAAAAGGAAAAGGGAAGAAGCCCAAAGAGGAAGGTGAAAAGAAGAAGTGAAGCCCTGAGGGGGCTTGGAAGAGAAAGATGTCCGAAATGACAATAAACTAAAGGTGCAAGATCGCACCTATAGACGAAGTCTTGAAAAAGCCGTCTGTGTATGTGTTTGAAGAGAAGTGAGAGAGGCTACCAGTAGCAGCGTAGTTTCTTCGTTTCACGTTTCACACCAACAAAAGAAGTGTGCACCACGATGTGTTTAAAGGAAAAGGATGACCGAAGTGAGCGATGAGGAGTTTGCATCCGAGTGAACTTAATTGCTATGAGAAGTGTGAGGCAATGAAGTGTAACTCGGAGAGGGGGTAACAAACTTTTCGGTTAGCCATGTGCCCCCTGTAGAAGTATTTTTCCTTGTCGTTTCACTGCTGCCAACAAGGCTCAAGGGACTGCTGAACAGACCGAGTCCCAGCAAAAAGTGCCCGCTAGTGGTTTCAAGTTCAAGGGTCTGGAACGAACCCTAAATCGTTTTAATATCGCACCGCCGTGCGGCACGGCCAGCCGTGCGCGTGACATTGGGAAGGGACCGCGCCCGCTTAGGTCCCTTCAACACCCATGGGGGCGGCCCGATCTGTCCGAGGTTGAGGCAGCTCGGGTTGCTAGCGCCAACGCTATCTATCGGGAGACGGCTGCCTTTTGCCAATGGCTCCTGTCCAACCATGCTTGCGTCCATTTCTCAGTGGAAAATCCATTGCACTCGTGGCTCTGGCACTTACCCTGCTTCCAATCCTTGCTGCAGAGACTTGCCTTAGTAAGCTTCGATGCATGCTTGCATGGTTCTACACGCAAGAAGGCTACAGCTTTCCTGTCCTCCCACCCAGTTTTGGGTCGCCTCAGCGGGCCCTGCCCGGGCTGCCCCAAGCATGATGCTTGGGTTGTGGACGGCAATTATGCCACCGCTTTGGAGGCCGCCTACCCAAAACTTCTCTGTGAACGGCTTGTTGCCTGCATCGATGACGTCGCTGCCGAGCGTCAGCTTCTTCCGAGCAAGCTTCAGACTTCTGAGCTGGCCAATGCCCGTGCAGCAGGGCAGGTTCAGCCCCGAGGTCGCCGTTTCGCGCCTGTCATCGGCGAATTTGCGCATACCGTGACAGTGGCTTCCTCCGAAGCCCCCCCGCTGAATGCTAAGAACTGCTTGGAAAAACCTTGGTTGCAGGTGCCTGCCAAGTCTAAACTGCTGCGTGTGTCAGTTGAAAGGGGTGGTGCCGACACCCGCGCAGGTGAGCTTGGAGATGAGCTCCAAGTGGGTGCAGCTTCTTGTCGGTTTTACACTTTCGGTGTGTATCGATCTCCAGAGGTTTTCGTGCGTGAGGCAAAGCAGCTTGATCACCCCTTCGATACTGCCAGGGCCCTTCCAGACGGACTGGTTCGCGTGCTCTTCGACCTCCTTGTGCAAGGCCCGGTGGTGGTGATGCGACGGAGACTGGAGAAAATCAGGCTATGGAGACAATGGGCTGTTGAGCTTGAGGGCGAGGAGCGTGCCCTGAAGCAAAAACTTGAACCTTCAGTGAGGCGTGTCTTGGGAGGCAAGCGCCTGTGCCTTCTTAAGCGCATTGCCGAATCTCTTGATTGGCCTGACAAGCAACTTCATCACGACTTGGAGGTGGGGTTCAAACTCACTGGCTATATGCCGTGTACTGGGGTCTTCCATCCTGACGAGAAGCCGGCACTTAGCTCCGAACAAGATTTTTGGGAAGGTGCGGCCATCTTGAGGGATTCTCTGTGGGACAAGGTGTCCGGCCAAGTTTGTGGTGAGCATGCGCAAGAGCTGTGGAACGTCACTCTTGAAGAAGCAGATGCAACATCAAAGGCTTGGCTTGATGGTCCTTACACTAGAGAGCAGCTCGAAGAAGTGTACCCGCAGGGATGGTCGCCTTGTCGCCGCTTCAGCGTAATGCACGGAAAGCTTCGCCCAATCGACGACTTCTCCGAATCCGGCGTGAACTCCTGTTTTGGGTGTTTCGAGCGTGTTAGCCTGAAAGCACTGGATGAGCTTTGCTGGGTTTGCATGCAGGTATTCCGGTGTGCCTTGGGTTCCGGTTGGGTGAAGTTTGTGTTGAGTGACGGTACGTCCCTCGAGGGCAGGTTGCACAAGGTTTGGGCGGATCGCGAGAAACTACGTCCACTCACGAAGACCTATGACCTTAGAGCAGCGTACAAACAACTACCTCTTCACCCGGGAGAGAAGCCGAAAGCAGTCCTGATTCTCAAAAACCCTACCGACGACCGGGTGTATGCCTTTCCATGCAACACCTTGCCTTTCGGTTCGTCGGCTTCGGTGATGCACTTCAATCGAGTGTCCTTGTTGCTGCAGCGGATCCTTTGGGAAGTCGGCGTAGTAGCGGCATGCTACTATGACGACTACCCAACGATGGCTCCTGCGATGCTTAGTGGGGGCACTGATAATGCAGTGCATTCGGTCATGGACCTTCTTGGGTTCACGCTATCGCGTGACAAAGAGCAACCTTTCAGCTCTGCTAGCGAGATGCTGGGAGTTGTCCTGGATACAAGTGACCCGTCCTTTGGGCACGTGTGCGTGTCAAACAAACAGGAGCGGGCTGCGGCGATGTGTGAGACACTTGCAAGTGTGTTGAGGGATCGGAAGGTGCTGGTTCGCGAGGTGCCCTCCCTTTTAGGGAGATTGCAATTTCTTGAGTCGCAGATGTTGGGACGCACGGGCCGTCTGGCCATTGCCGATCTGAGGAACCTGGAGCGGGCTGCTGCATTCAGTGTGGAGCTAAGCCAGTCCCAGTTTGATGCGGTTGCCTTGCTACGTGCTCGCCTTTTGAAGGGGGTCCCCCGTCAGCTTTCAGCGAGCCCTGCTTCTGCCCCAGTCCTCGTGTTTACCGATGGAGCATGCGACCCCTGTGGAAGTTCCTTTCATGCGGCTGTGGGAGGCGTTCTCATTGCGCCGGGGTCGAAGCCCCGTGTCTTTGGTGCCAAAGTTCCTGAGGCCTTGATCCAACGGTGGGCACGGGGGCGCAAGCACATCATAGGCCAGGTTGAGCTGTATGCCGTGGTCTTAGCCAGGGTCTTGTGGTCCAGGGCAATAGGAGGGAACAGGGTTTTCTTCTTCGTGGACCATACGGGTGTCCACAGCTCCTGTATTAACGGGAATGCGGCCGATACCTCCTGGCGTGAGCTGCTCATGCAACTAGAGGCTGCGGATGAGGCGGCGCCGTGCCTAGCATGGTTCCACAGGGTTGCCAGTGAAAGCAATCCTTCCGATGCCCCCTCCCGGGGTGAGTGGGAGAAACTGCGGTACCTAGGGGATTTCTTGCGCGACGAGGTCAAATGTCCGATGACCTATTGCACTCTTGAAAGCACTTGATGCGCCGGCCAAAGAGAAGTGGGGGAGATAAACGGGGCCGACACATCAGTTGTGTCAGAGGGCCGATGGCACTACATGTGCCATGGTGCAGGCCACTTAAAAAAAGTGGCATGACGTACTTTCCCCATTTTCTCGGCGTGCCGACGAAGAAAAAGTGCGCATGTGTTAGAGTGTGAAGTGTGATGAGATCTACTTGCGTGATTTGGGAATCCGATGTTTTTAATGTTGAGTTCAACGCGTTTCCCCTCGAGATTGAATGTTGGATAATTCTCTGTAGCTCGCCTGCGGGCAGAAGTTATACCATTGCGGATGAAAGATTTTGTTCTGGTTGGGGCAGCTATAAGCTATACTTCATGCTTGCATGACGTTGCCTTATAGTTGCACCAAAACCAAAATTGTTTGTCGGAGAGTATCTTTAAGCAATTTTGGGCCAGAACAAAAAGTTTGGAATTTTAATACTCACCAGCATTTTGCTTATGCATGCATGACACATTCTTGGGACATGTGTTTTCAGGATTGTTTAAATTTGTGATTGAAATTTCGCTTGCATTCCAAAGCTTGGCTCAGCAGTCAGCAAAGCAAGGAAATTTCTTTCCCACCCTCCCAACCCGGGGAGATAAACGGGGCCGACACATCAGTTGTGTCAGAGGGCCGATGGCACTACATGTGCCATGGTGCAGGCCACTTAAAAAAAGTGGCATGACGTACTTTCCCCATTTTCTCGGCGTGCCGACGAAGAAAAAGTGCGCATGTGTTAGAGTGTGAAGTGTGATGAGATCTACTTGCGTGATTTGGGAATCCGATGTTTTTAATGTTGAGTTCAACGCGTTTCCCCTCGAGATTGAATGTTGGATAATTCTCTGTAGCTCGCCTGCGGGCAGAAGTTATACCATTGCGGATGAAAGATTTTGTTCTGGTTGGGGCAGCTATAACTGAGTACACCTTCTAGGGCACACCCAGACTATCGATAACGGTTCTCATAGCAGCTGTGGTAGTAGCCAGGCGATCCTTAAGGTGTAAGGCCACAACTTTCTTCGAAAAGCTGTCGATAGCAACCAACATGTAGGGATAGGGTTTTGGACCAAATCTTGCATGAATGCTAAATCCACCTGCACCTCGTGCATCGGCCCCTGAGGCACAAACGAATTGTATTCTCTTTGAGGCCGATCCTGTCGATTCCTTAGAGTTTCAAGGAACTGACCTCATCTCTTGACACGAAGGGATTGCGTGCTTTTGCAGCTTTAAGAGCATTTGCAGTGCTGCCAAAACCGGTCCGAGGATCTCGGTACACTTGCTCGACGATTCTCCTGCGAGCCGCGGCCTTGCCAGGACATCGGCCATGAGCCTGGCCTTTGCTCTTTTTCACGCTGGAGTGAGGGTCGCAGGATCGTCTGACGACGAAGGGTTCGCGCTGAGAGCTGCTGAACTTGAGACGGTGATGGGGCGGGGGCCGCGCTTTGCTGAAGTCTGTGCCAAGGCTCAGATGGCATCTTTGTGGCTTGGGTGCCGATGCCGACAGCGATCCCAGGCCTGGTCCAGTGCCGAGTTGCCTTGCGCGAAGCATGCCAGCACGGGAGAGTGTGCAGCGCTGTTTGTTTGTTCCGCAGCTTCCTTTGGCTTTTGAGGGTTTTAGGGCTTAAAGGGCCTTGGGGGTTTAGGGTTTAGGGATGTTTAGGGTTTAGGGTTTAGGGTTTAGGGTTCAGGGTTTAGGGTTTGGGGTAAAGGGCCTTAAGGAGTTCAAGGGTCGGGGGCTTCGGGGGCTCATTGCCCTTAGGCGAAGATGTTTGTAGCTTGCCCGGGCCCCAGCTGGCCCGCCGCGCCGCCATGTGGCCTGCCTGCGAGAGGCCGAGAGTGCCGAGCCGGCAGGTCAAGGGTGCAAACGCGGGCTTGGAGCTGGGACGCGGTCTACAAGGTGGCGTCGCTGTGTGGAGTGGTGGGATTATTTAAAGACGATCTGTTGAGACGGTTGCCGCCGAGGAGGCTGCCCATGCGAATACTTAAGGGAGCCATCCGCTCTGCAGGACAGCAGATGTCGGACGAAGCCAAAAGCGTGCGTGTCGTGGAGCGACCAGAGAAGGCAACTATCAAGGCCTTCGTCGACAGCCCAGGTCCCTTTCCAAAAACAAGCCCCTCCTTTCTGGTCGTGAGTGGAGCGCAGGGAACCGGGAAGACCACCATGCTGGAGAGCCTGTTCGCGGAGTATCACGACGACGGCCGCTGGGTGCTGCCCGTGAGTCAAGAAATCGACCCGGCCGGCAAACTGGATCTCACGGATGTAGTGCAGCAGGCATTGAGAACACGGAACCTGCCGCAGTTCCTGCCAAGTTTCCAATTGATCCCAACCCTGCTGAGGACCCTGAGCGAGAAGTGCAGTCGCGAAAGTGGCGGCCCCCTCATCGTGTACCTGCAGTTGTCCACCAAAATCCGGGGCGCCCCTTTCACCGATGACCAGTGCGAAGCGTTAGCGACAGAGGTCGGAGCCTTCGGCCGAAAGCTGACGTACGACTACCCCCTGTGCAAGTTGGTTGTCGAGCTGTCCGTGTCTTTGATATCGCCGACAAGATCCAGGAGCGGCTGGGTCAAAATCGGGCGTCCAGGGTGTTGCCTAGGTGCTGTAACAGCGGCTAGATGGTAGTCGGGAGCGCCACGTAGTAGGGACCCTAAAGGACAAGTTCAACATGTCCGAGCTGGTGGTGGTGGACCCACTGCCTTTGAAGAGCGCCCTGGCTTTGTTGTGTGCTTTTTTGCTTTTGTTTTTTGGAGTTGCCGTCTGAGTGCAGGGACCTCGCCGCCAAGTCGTGCAGTAAGCCCGTGCCGAGGATTCGTGGAGCTGGCCCTGGAGAAACCCAAGATGGACGAGCTCACCCGGGCGGAGATCTTCAAGTACTTCTACCTTCACGCTGGCGGCAGCTTCCGCGAGCTGCAGCGGCTCCTTAAAAACGCGGCCAAGGCCGACGCCTCGGATGCGCAGGGCATCAAGGCCCGGATCGACAGGACGAAGATCCAGCCCATCAAGGACGTTCTGGCTGAGACGGAGGAGGACGAGTTTCAGCAGTTCATCCGGCGTCTCCTGGGACAGAAGCCCGAGTCCAAGTACCTGGACTACGTGACGAAGGTGGCCGAGGCGGGCCCAAAAGGCTACCTGAGCGGCGGTGATGCCCTGGACAAGGAGACGAAGCTGCAGATGGAGCTCCGGCGCCTGCAGCCGGCGCAGGCAGTCCTCCGGAGCACCACGAGCACCGAGGTGGCTTTGCGGCATTGGTACTTCGTCTTCTACGTCCTGGGCGAGACCGAGGAGGGCCTGCAAGATGCAGGCTACATGTAGTCTTAGTGCGGACATTTTTGCAGGCGCAGAGACCACTTTGAAAGAACGGCGGGCGCCTGAGCAAAAAAGTAGGCAAGTGCGAATCTCTGCGCGCCGCGGTAGCAGTCTTGCAACTGTTCAAGTCATTGTTGTCTTTGGCCCGACCCGACCAGGTACAGCCCGCCGACATCTCTGAGGCTTTCGTGGTACTTGTCACGATGTGTTTTTCCAGGTCGCTTGCTTCGACGAACGCGCGTGCAGAACGCCAGGTGCGACGACGAACACGCATGCAGAACGGCACGCGAGCGTGGTCGCAGCGGACTGGGGGACCGGCGAGACGCGACCACTACGACGCGGCGCGAGTGCGCGGGTGTCGCCCCAGGTGTCGCTCCAGCAGTCTTCACCAACTTGCGTAGAGGTTCTTGCCCCCCGCGAAACAAGGCGACGACGACGCGACGACGACGCGACGACGACGCGGGCCTCGCTGCAGCCCCCGAGGCCCTCACAGTCGTTGCAGCGCCTCATGCTCTCCCGCAAGGATCGGCGAGGATAGCGGTACACGCGACGACGATGCGGCGATGAGTGGTGAGGACCGGGCGGTGAGGATAGCGGTGAGGATAGGGGCGGGCACGGCGACACGACGGCGCGACGACCAGCACTGTGGTCCGGGGATGAGGACACGGGTGAGGATAGCGGTGAGGATAGAGGCGGTGAGGATAGAGGCGCAGACGGATGACACGACAGCGCGATGCGAGGAGGCGACGACGACGCGACGACGACACGGCGGGATCTTCGGGAAGTGAGGGCACCCAGTGAGGGCACCTCTTCGGGAACTGAGGGCACCTAGTGAGGGCACGCACCTTGGGGCGGGGAGTGAGGGCACCTAGTGAGGGCACCTTGTGAGGGCACCTAGTGAGGGCACCTCGGCTGGGAGTGAGCGGCGACGCAGCGACAATGACGTGACGACGACGCGACGACGACGCGGCGACGACGATGCGACGACGACGCGGCGACGATGCAACGATGGCGACGTAGCGACGACGCGACGACGACGACGCGACGACGATGCGACGAAGGCGACGTTGCGACGACGCGGCGACGACGCAGGCCCTCCTTGCCCGAAAGATTAGAGGCCCTTCACCTTCACCTTCTTAGCCTGACCAGGCCCTCGGTAGCCCTAAGATTCACTGCCCTCTCCTGGCACTTCAGAAACGCGAGAGCTTGGAGGGCCTAATCCCACCAAGCAGCTTCCGATCTCTACGACGGATGCCGCGGTTACCAATGTTACCCCCAATGTTCCCCCCAGAGCCGCGTTACCCCAATGTTACCCCTGAGCCCGCGTTACCCCAATGTTACCCCTGAGCCCGCATTACCCCAGCGTTACCCCAAAATGTTACCCCTGAGCCGGCGTCACCCCAAGGTTACCCCCAGAGGGCGCGTTACCCCAATCAGCCAGCCCCAGGCCTACAGCCCAGCCCCCTGCAGCCACTGCAGCCCCGCCACTGCAGCCCCTGCAGCCAGGCCCTCCCCACCTACAGCCCCTGCAGCCACTGCAGCGCCTGCTGCCACCCTCCTGCCTCAGCCCTTGCAGCCAGTCCCTCCAGCCCTCCAAAATGGTACCCCAAGAGCCGGCGTGGAGACGACAACGAGGCGACGACGCGACGACGCGACAACGACACGACGACGAACACGCGTG